TCCTCCTGTGTTCAATTCTCTGAATCCAGCCTGGGATCAGAGCAGGATAGTAGCTGAGATTTAAGAATTTAGACCAGGACCAGGAAAGCCTTTTCATTTATTTAGGTTGGGTAAGCATATTTACAAACAAGAAAAGAAAATGGACTTGTTTTGGAAATTTCCATCCCTGAGCAATTGAGATTGAGGTGTGATTTTGAAAGAGAAAAGTTTGAGCAGAAGAGGTTTAAATGGGGTTCACTCGGGTGAGTAGAGTGCCTTGGTTTTCCATTGCATTTCTAACTGGAAACTCTCCCATGGCTTTACCAACTCAGTGTCTATCTATATTTAAATAAAGGGCGCAGTGTGTATATGTTCAATCATGGAAGTTGATAATGGAGTTCTTGCTGGACAGGTGTGTAAGGTATGGACTGTGCTAGGTTATTTGTAAGGACTTGTGGTATCAGAAAAACCTTAAAATGTGCTACCAGTTCATCTTTGGAAAACCCACCAATAACCTAGCTACAAAGTCAAGTTTATTTGGGTTCAACTCATTACTTTTCCAACTTTTCCTATTAGTAGATAGAGACACTGGCAAACGGAAAGCTACTGGGCTGTGCCGGGGCCGCGCCCACATTGATATTTCACGGCTGCATGTTGAGTCTGGTCAGAGTTCCAAGTGGGGCTCAGGCCAAGATAGTGTGGCAAAGTCCACAGAGAGGAGAACTAGACCAGGGCATCGGTTTTGCATTATATTCCTTCAGGTGTCCCAGGTGGCCCTTGTGTGGCAGGGGTACCTGCTTAAGGAAGCTGGCTGTAGAAGAAGAGTCAGCATTCCATTTTCCACGTTGGGGGTTAACACTTTGGTCCCTAACTTTGCCTCTTTTCCTCCTGTGCAGTGGAAAGACCTCAGGGACAGATTCCCAGGGCCTGGTGCACACAGTACTAAAAGGGGTTTCAAGGGGTCAATGGAACTTTAGATGTTAGCTTCCCCCCTACCACAAACAGCCCACCACACCAGCTGCCTGAGGACTGCCTGTGATGGGGAACTTGTCAGCAGAGACGGTCACCAGCTGTGTCCAATAAGGCCCTTCTGCGAAAAGGGTATTTCTATCCATCTTTTCCCTTATATCACTGGTGACAAAGAGATTCTAATGTTTCCTGACCCTCACAGAAACGTGTCCTTGTGCTCGTAGAAAGGGAGACGACACAGTGCAAATTTCAGTCCTCCTGGAATATTTCTTAGGATGTTCTCCAGCCCAAGGCACATTTCTAGGTAGTCAGCAAAAATCTCTCTGACTACTGAGAAGAGAGGCTGAGCTCTTGGAGGATATGGGGTGGGGTTCATGGAAGGGGCTGCTAAGCGGGGCTTGGATCTGTTCAGAAAGTCTCTTCCAGTGAACTTAGACTGGGACTGGAGCCCTCTCCCACCGCACAGGCTTCAGATGCCAGAGTGCCACATGCAGTTTATTTACTCTTGTCCAAGACTTGGCTAGTTTCAGTGAAGTGGTTAATATTTAATGTGCCTTCGGATGGGTGGCTCTGACTATAGGCTGTGCATATTTCCCAGCCCATTCCCCCCTCCTCTTAAGTCCCCCAAAGAGGTCAAGGGTGAAAAGACACTACACTGTCACCTTGACTGCTGTGCTTGTTTCTCAGGTTTCTTATCTGGCAGAAATACCTCCAGTTTCGATGGCTACCCTGATATAGCCCTCAAGTTTCAAGGTTATGGAGTTGGTGGAAGGAAATGCTGTATGTGGGTTGGGCAAAGCCAGTGAGGGGGGACGGAAAGATGGGAAGAATACTGCTCAAACTCTTTGGGTCAGAAAGCTCGGTATAGAGATGTGTCAGCACCTGTGGGCTCACTCAGCTTGGTTTCAAGTTCACATCATCTCTGCAGAGATTGATTAATACGGTGCCCAATGACATGATCTTCCCTGGCATTTAGCGTCATTTCTTTGCACATCCCCCTGCCCACCCCCACCCCCTGAAGAATGTAGGTATGGGTGAGTGCTCTCTGAACCTGGACAATCATTAATGGTGGATGGCTGGGATGACTGAACTTCATCTACATGATTTCTCACATTCCTGTTTCTTTGAGGTGCTAACCTCACAAAAAAAACCCTCGCCGTACTGGAGATTAAACTCAGGGGCTGAGCTACATCCCCAGCCTTTTAAAATATATTTTATTTTGAGACAGGGTCTCACTAAATTTCTCAGGGACTGGCTTTGACTTGCAATTCTCTTGCCTCAGCCTTCTGAGTCTCTAGGATTGCAGGAGTGTGCCACCACACCCATCTAGTGTCATTTCTTTACTCCGGAAATATATATCTGCCATTAGGTCAATAAACTGTCCTGGAAATATAAGTCTGAACCAGAAAATGCATGGAGTTTAAGATATGAAATAAATGAAGAGGATGCCAATCCTGTCTTTAGTATTCAGTCAGGAGTGATCAATGACTCCTCTTTAGGTGCAAACCCTCTGGCAACTTGGCTGTCCCTGAGAGCCCTCTGGAGGGGCCCAGATCCATAGCTGTCCTGAATATGTAGCTCTGGGTTTTTTATCATTTTTTCTTGGTAAGAGATAGTGGGAGGAGCCCCAGGTTTCACACCTGTGAAATGAAGAAAATGTCACCAACTGTCTCAGTTACCAGGTTATTCTGAAGGTCTAATGAGCACATCTGGGAGCACTTTGGAGTAGCATGCCAAGTTCTTGCTGAGCAAGACTATTCCTACTCTTCAGGGTCTGCAGTGTGAGCGCGAAAGGCCTCCCTGGGAAGAAGGAAACCTGGTGACCCACTGCAAAGCCTGAAGCATACTTGGAAGATCAAGGGTAGCAATTTTCTCTGAAAGTAAGAGGCAGCATCTGCTCACTCATTCAGAGAGAAAATTACATTAATTATAGTGAATCACCTTAAATATTTATTGCCCCAATTTTACATATAAGAAAACTGAAGCTCCAAACCAGACCCTTGGATCAACACTGACTTCTTAAAAACAGTGCTTTTGTCTTATTCTGTTTTATACCCCCACTGCCTATTAGGTGCTCATAAATATTAATTTAACTGAAAACATTGCCCAAATTCCACTAAGCCATATATTCTCTGTGATATAAAATATTCAAGAACAATTTTACAGGAGTAGATTAGAAGCCAAGGAGAAACCTCCCAACAGCTCAACCCAACAGACACCAGGACAGATGGCAAGCATTTTTTGAGTGCCTCCTGTGTGCCTAAAGCGTATGAGAGATGGGTTCCCTTTGCTGTAACAGCCTCAACCCTGAAGAATGTAGGTATGGGTGAGTGCTCTCGGAACCTGGACAGTCGTTAATGGTATGTGGCTGGGATGACTGAACTTCATCCACATGATTTCTCACATGCCTTTTTCTTTGAGGTTCTAACCTCACGAAGAAACCCTAAAAGTCATCTCTACCAATGTTAATTTATCACTGGGTTTCCTGGGTATCTCTGACTCTCTGTTCCCCTCCTTATCTTCTGAGAGACTGTGGACCTTTATGAACCCCTAGTGTCTGGCTCTTTGGGGATCTTCCCTCTTCTTTCTACAGTGTTCTGTCCTTCCCTCCCTCCCTTCTAAAAGTAGCTCCATGCAGCCTTATACTTGCCAGCTCTCACGGGTTAGAAGGCTGATTCACCCAACCCTGCCCAAACCTCACACTGGCACTGGAAGCTACTACTGGTAGAAGTCAAAGGGATATCTGCCTGGCTTCCAAATCCTGAGTCCTCACATCTCCTAGAGAATACATTTTTCTAAGGTGCTTTATCTAGTATCTTGGGAAAAGTAGAAGAGGTCATTAAAAGAGAGCATGGTTTTATGGGCAAAATATGGATTCCGAATTGGATAAACTTTATTGTAATTCTAAGTTCTCCCCCAACTTCTTGTTTGACCTTGAAACTCTTCTTTGATCACAGTTGTTTTAGAATTTAATTTAACAAGAGAGTCACCCTTGGCCTGCCCGATTCTATTTCCCACAAGCACTGACTTCAGTAGGAAAACAACACTAACTTCCTTTGATACTACTATTGTCACTATGAACTTGAAATTTTTTCCCCTAAGGAGCTGAAGTCAAGATGAAGCTATATAGAACTTTTCTCTTGTTCCTCTGACAGCTAGGGAATTTTATTGGGAATATATACAATGATGGAGGAGGAGATGCACAGGCGGGAAATTAGGTTTGTGCCAATCACCGCAGGTGCCAAGCTCATGTCTCAGAAGCTAGAGAGATGATGATAGCCATCATAGCGGTGGCTGTGATGACGCTCATGAAGTTGACCTTGACAGCAGTTGACAGCAGGCCCTGCAATGCACAAAGTGTTTTACAGGGAGTTTTTCATTACATAGATTCACAAAGTGACTAAAAAGCAAGTTCAATTAAGGGCTCTGTTTTTTTTCTCTCAAGTCTATTGTCTACATTTAAGCAGAACCCTTCTTTTCTAAGTTCTTACTTCCCTTGTTTCACTTTAGTTTGGTCCTAGATGTATCTTGCCTTTTTCTTATTACAAGAACAATAGTAGTTATTTATTTTATTCATTAAGTGTTTGAGTATTTACTACCAACTAAACTGTGCTCTTCTCACATTTAATCCTTATGTTATTCAATGAGGAAAATTAGACTCAAAGAGTAATTTGCTTCAGGTAAAATAACTCTAAATGGCTCAATTGGAATTTGAACCCAGGCCCAACTACCTCCACAGCCCAATCAATTAAACCTTGTAATACTTATTGTTTATATTAAAGACAATGTAGATGAAGCTCCCTGATTAGGAGGAAAATGGTAACTAAGAGAAGTGATAGAAGCTGCTTTCTGACTAGACTGCCTCTCTACCACCTAAGTCTGTCCCTGTGCATGTTTTTGAGCCAGGTCCCACATCCTTCTGTGCAGGCTGCAGGCGTGGAGGCACACCCTCCAAGGCCCCCTTCCTGTCCTCTGCTTGCTTGATGTCTTGGGCCTGGGCAGAGCCTCGCAGAAGCCTTGGCTCACAGTGGCTTTGATTCTTCTCTTTTCAGGCCCAGCTTGGGACATTCTTCGCTTCTCTTCGCTTCCCCTCTGGGAGTCCCTTTCACCATCCCTGCACCTTGCTTCGGGCGATGCCCGAGAGGGAGCTGTGGCCAGCAAGGCCTGGCTCGGAACCCGAGACCTGCATCCGCAGCTGCGACAGCATGATGAGCGCCACCTCCACCCGCTCGGGATCTGTATGTACTCTCGCGTCTGCTGGCTGGCCCGCTCTCTGCACCCCTGCTCCGCCCTGCCCGTCCTGCCCTGCCACCCTCATTGCTCCGCACCTTCTCTTTCATCTTCCTTGTCAGCGAGTGAATCACTACATTGCTGGGTGCTTTCTGCCTGAGTCACCCTTGGTTCTATAGAACACAGGGTGGGACAGCCTCAGAGAATGATAGGATCAGTGAGAATCCCGTCCAGTCCCCAGCTTTCATTAGGTTGAGGAGTTCAACGGAGGAGTTCCTAGCAGGCCTAGGAACCAAGGTCATGGTGGAAACTAGAACACAGATCCTTGCAGCACATGGGTTCATGAAGTTGTCTGCAACAAAGGGCATTACTTCAGTCTTCTAGGAAGGTCGAAAAGAGTGGAGGGCTGGGGCTGCAGCTCAGAGGCAAGGCCTTTGCCTAGCATGTGTGGGGCGCTGGGTTCAATCCTCAGCACTACACAAAAATAAACAAATAAGATGAGGGCATTCAGTCCATCTACAACTACAAAAAAGTTTTTAAAAATCTTAAAAAAAAAAGAATGGAGTAATTGGGAGTCTTAAGTTTTATAGCCAGAGTGATCTGTGTTCTCTAGTTAAGTGACCTCAAGCAAATTACTTAATTTTCCTAAGCCCCAGTCTCCTCAGTTTGAAAATGGGAATAATATTAACGCCTAACTCACTGGAGTCTTGTCTCTGTGTAGAAAAGCCCATCTAGGAGAGACTGAGACACTTTGAAAATCACCGTTCAGCTATTTGTGAGTGACATGTAACAAATTATAATTTGGGGAAGCATGAATTTAAATCTCAGTTGTAAGGCTTGTGTGAAAGTGTCCATCTGCCCTACATCCAAATGTAAGCATCCCTTTCTTGTTCATTGTCACCTGCATAATAACCCAGAGAATTTAGATTGTATTGCTTCATATTTTATAGAGGTCTTGAAAATGTAGAGATCATAAGTATCTCTACAGAATGTCAAGGATGTTTAATGTAGTTAATGGATTTTAATATGTAAAATGGAGCAGATAAAGCAACACAAAGACACACACACACACACACACACACACACACACACAGTGCAAACAACCTATGCAAGATTTTTTTGTGATCCCAGAGGATGGGGACAGGGAGATATCATCCTGTTCCTGATAGACGGAAGCCAGTATGAGTAGTTGTCACATTCCATTGCACACAGAGTGTGACAGGGATTCCAGGTTTTCAGAGTGAATCACCCACAAAGGAGAAATTAAGAGTTGGCTTATCCCGGCAAGGCTATTTTAGAAGAAAAAGACAGTAAAGAAGATCTTTTTTCCAGTAACTTCAAGGGCTATATTTGGGGCTTCCCTTGACATGCAGGCCCTAGATGGTCATCAGACAGATGACTTTAAGAGCAGAGGCAACTGGAAGCATTATTTAATTATCCTGTCTTCCCTGCAGGATATTTTTAGGGTAATCTTAAAATCTTCCTTGGCCATCTGAAGGGATCTGAGAATATACAACTCTTTTGTCCCAAATTTTGTCCCAAATTCCAGGAGGACAGATGGAGAGGCCAAGAAAAGTCTTAGGACATTTCCACTTGTCCTTTTGGTTTTTCCTTCAACCTCCTTGTTTGAAGAGCAACTAGTTCATCCAACTTCCTGGTTTACTACAGCATGGGCAGAACCATCAGGGATGGCATAGTATCATCCTCCAAATATCCCTATGTGCTTTCTCACAGCACAAATGATCCATTTTATGTCTATTTAGTTGTTTTCCCTTCCTACCTAATCAACCAGTTTCTCCACCCTCCCTGCTTAAGTTAATATTTGGTTAAGAACTGCATACTTATTTGAATATTAGCCAGAGCCAAATGCCATTAAGAAAGTAAATTTATAAGGGGGAAAGAATCCAGCATGGAACATATTTCAAAGTCAAGTGTAAAGTATTTAGTAAGCTTATCTGTGGCTAGTCATGCCACTGTTCCCATTGGCCTGGCAGCCAGTACTTGGCTGCATTTCCTGTTTGTCTTCATATTGTCCTTGACATACCAGATCAAGTATGCAGAAGTATTTTAAAAAGTTAAAAGTAATACCATTCAAGTTTCGGGTCAAATCATTTCGTTGTGCATATAATCTAGAATTAAATCAGAGAAACTGAAATACTTGACAAAGGTCACACAGAACTGAAATCAGAACTTGAACTGCTTCTGATCTGTGCCCAGAAGTATTCCACCCAGGACCAAGCAAAAGAAAGCACTCTTGCCATCAGCCTGCCCAGTCACCAGATCTGGGTGCTGCAGGGGCCGCAACCCTGCAATGTCTATCCTCCCTGGTGCCTGCAAATGTAGGAAACAATTCCATTGAGTTTGCAGAGTTGCACCAGCCACCAGAGAGAGGATCTAGCTCCTCAGCCTTCTTTCCCCACAACAGGGTGGTTCTCAGGCCCCACCAGTTTCTCCAGTGATAGCTCCCTCTCACACTCTCTCTCCCCTTCTGCAGAGTGACAGTAGCTACGACTTCCTGTCCGCGGAAGAGAAAGAGTGTTTGCTATTCCTGGAGGAGACCATTGGCTCATTGGACACTGAGGCCGACAGCACACTCTCCACGGAGGAGTCTGAGCCAGCCACAACTCCCCGAGGTTTCCGAACACTGCCTGTCATACAGCCGGTTCCCCAGAGTAAGCCCATCCAACTGAGGGGGCACTTGTACCAACACCCAGAGAATCAGTGCCTCTTGGTCACTTCCCAGCTCCCCCGGCCTCTGTTCACAGGCAGAAGGATCTCTGCACTTCTCACCACTCTCTTGGCCAGAATAAAGCCTTGTCCCTAGAGGGAAGGAGGGGCTGCTGACAAGCCAGTCCTTTATGTCTTTCTGTGAAGTAGCAGAGGCTGGGAGGGGAAGGGGTTTGGCTAGCTACTGTCCTATTGTGGTAAAGTTCTAAAGAGATATGACCCCCAGGTGGAGGAGGGAATTCAGGGAAGGCTGGGTGGTTGGCTCTAACCAGACCGAGTCATTCCAGGGAGCTAATCTGGAGGACCCAGAGGACAGGGCCACAGGAGATAAGAAGAGGGAAGGACTCCCCAGCTGCAGTGGGTGGTACCTAGAGGCCCTTCTTGAAGAGGGCGGCATTCAGGCTCAGTAGAAGAGGACAGGACAGGAAGGCACATAAGCATGGGTCATATGTCCCAGAGTTTAGGGAGGACTTTACTCTCAAAGACAGTCCCATTGGTTTCAGGGTTACAATTATTTATTAATCTATTTATCGCATATTTATCGACAATGTGTTACACCCTCCCTATAGATAGAGTAATTAATGGGCTGTGCCCCTTGCAGCACCTGAGGCACCTGCTGAGCGTGCAAGAAGGAAAGAGGTCATGTCACTCTGGTGCAGGACACTGTGCTATTATAGAATTGGCCAGGGGCTCAGAGAAGGTGAAAGCAGAAGATAGACTGGTCAGATCCAGAGTAAATCACTTGTTCGAATATTTCCATTGGGCTCAGTTCCCAGGAGTCCCAAGATGACTAGAAGGAACAACTCTAAATCCAACCCTGATTTTGAGGCGTTTGAAGAAGGTTGGAGGAGCCTGAGTAAAGTATGTAGAGCAATCAGGGGTCAGCCTCTCCCCAGCCATCATGAAAAAATAATCCTCAGTCAAAAGGAATCTGCCGTTATTGATCTATTAGACTAGATGATCTCCAGACAAGAGTGGTACCCTTTAAAAGCAAAAAAATAAAAAACGAAATCCATCCTTGCTTAGTTGGAGAGCAGAGTTCAAGTATTTGTTTTCCCCTCTGCAGCAGGGTTCTCACCTCTTTCCACTCTCTACTTGTTCTCCCTGACCCTCGCAGGAAACTCAGAGAAGACAATCATTCAGCAAGCACCAGAGCCAAGGAAGGTGACTCATTCCTCCTCATTCCGTCCCCCTGAGCCTCACAGCTTGAGCTTCAAGTCTGGCTCCTACAGCCTCCCCAGAAATATCCACATTGGCGGAAACCAGAACCTCAGGAAAAGCCCCACCCAGACTAACAGCCACTTCCCTGGAGAATCTGAGGGACTCATAGCTAAACCTGAGAAAAAGCAAGCCAGCCAGAGCAGGGAGCCCAGCCAGGCACCAGCTAATCCCCTGGGGGCTGCCCTTGACCTGGACGTGGTACTCATCCCCCCACCTGCGGCTTTCCAGGACGCCCAGCCAGAGCAGGGTAGGAAAGACAGCCTGCCCAAGGGGCCAGGAGAGCCTAGGCCCCAACTCCACCCACCATTCAGCCGCCTGGAGAGAGTGGAGGGGGATTCAGAGGCCATGTCCCACCCAGCTAGTGGGAAAGGCTCCACAGGGGCCTCAGGAAAGCCACAGCCTTCTCCTGCTGGGTTGTCTTGGAATGCCAGAGCTGAAGATGCTTCCCTCCCACCAGGGGCTGATCCAAATCCCAGAATGGCTCCCCTCACAGCCCCGAAGCCCCGGAAGCTGCCACCCAACATTGTTCTGAAGAGCAGCCGAAGCAGCTTCCACAGCGATCCCCAGAATAGGCTGTCCCGACACCATGAGGCTGGAGAATCCGGCCTGGTGTCCTCTGCACTGCAGGACCAAAGGAAAGCACGCAGAGAAGCACTGGAGAAGCTGGGGCTACCCCAGGACCCAGAGGAGCCCAGCCTCCCTTTGAGTAGGCCCACCAGCTCCATCAGACTCAAGGAGGCTCAGGGCCAGGGTTCTTCCCCAGCCCCAGCACCAGCTCAGCCATCCGCTCCAGCTCCCATAGCTGCAATTACTCCTGCTGCAGAGAAGATCCCAGCTCAGGGACCTTCCCCAGTGAAGCCTCCAGCGTCAGCTCTAGCTCAGGGGCCCTATCCAGGCAAGACTTGGATTCCTGCCCAGGAACCCTCTCTTGGGAAAGTTGCAGCTACCAAATCCACACCAATCCCTATCCCTAAGGCCCCAAAGGCGAATAGTGGCTTAACTCAGCCAAAGCCAGACTCAGGACTGACTCTCCAGGAGAGCAACATCCCTGGCCTGAGACAGATGAACTTCAAGTCCAACACTCTGGAGCGTTCGGGTGTGGGACTGAGCAGCTACCTCTCTGCTGAGAAAGACCCGAGTCCCAAAACCAGCACTTCCCTGGGAAAGGGTTCCTTTTTGGACAAGATCTCACCCAGTGTCTTGCGTAATTCTCGGCCCCGCCCTGCCTCCCTGGGCACTGGGAAGGACTTTGCAGGTATCCAGGTGGGCAAGCTGGCTGACCTGGATCAGGGGCAGAGCTCCAAGCGGCTGTCCTACCAAGGACAGAGCCGTGACAAGCTTCCTCGACCCCCTTGTGTCAGTGTCAAGATTTCCCCAAAGGGCGTCTCTGATGAACATAGGAGGGAGGCCTTGAAGAAGCTGGGGCTGCTGAAGGAGTAGGCCACCAGTGCCAGCAAGATTAAACCAAGAGGACAGACTGCGGGCTCCACTTAGGAGCCCTTGTGACCTCATGGCTTAGGGCTGGGGCAGCCACGGGCTCCTCTCACGGGTTCTGCGCTCTTGGAGGCGAATGGGAAGGAGAGACTTTTGTTCAAGCATGTGTTGAATTCAGAGTGGTTGTGCCATTGACCATCTCTACAGAGCATTCTGAAGAAGAAATAGACAAGGGCGGGGGGCATGTGCACGTGTATTTGGGGGAGCTGTACATATCATTGACACTCTTTATGTAACACAAAAAGGCATGGTTCAGAGTTCTGCTCTTGTTGAAAATTTTCTTACAATGGAGAAGGGAGGCCAGAAAAGTCAAATGAGATGACGGATATGCAAGTGATCTGAAAGAAGAGTTATAGTGGGGCTGGGGATATAGCTCAGTTGGTAGAGTGCTTGCCTCGCATGCACAAGGCCCTGTGTTCAATCCCCAGCAGCACCACCACCCCCCAAAAAGAAGAGTTATAATCTACACATAAAGGTTCACATGAATGTGGGCCTCCTAGAATCCCTGCAGGAAATGGAGACTGGTTCATACCTTGCTGGATCCCTCTCTCAGTTCAGGCCTTCTGGACAAGGCCTTGAGCCTAGAGAAGTTGGTTTGTTATCTCTTCACTCACTGCCTTCTTAGTGTCACCAGTCCCACTGGAGGACCCCTCCCCGTGACTAACCCTCTTAGTTCACTGATAGCAGGACAGCTCTTGTCAGTCTTGAAGGCAGGATAAGAGGCCACACACTCATACCTCTGCCTGCACTGGTTCTTGTCGGTGGGCTTGAGAAATTTGATAATAAACTGTGCTGTGGTCCATGATTCTGATATTATGATGCTTCCTGCTCTCTTGCTCTTTATCTCACTCTGCACACGACCGACTAGAGGGCTGGTCAATACTGAGGTGGAAGCCCCCAGCCCAGAGGTTTTATAAATACCACAGAACTATTTCAGACCTATGTTATTGTAGATCATTTTCAAATGTCCATAGTTCCAAGGATAAGAAATCAACACAATACATAGAAAATTGGAGCTGAGAGGAATCTTCGAAGAGCTCCTATCCAACCCTGCTGGGGAAGGGCAGAGACTCATTCATGGTCACTCTGCATTTGGTAAACAGCCAAGTCAAAGATCTGGGGCTCCTGATTCCCATTCTCTGCTGCCTCCCTTAACCATGCTCTTGTACTTCCACATACCACCTTAAAAGTCCATAATCACTGTCGAAGCCTGATCCCTAAGGTCCTTCAATAACCCTAGTGTCTTCTGAAGCAACCAGAACTAAATGTTCAGGATATTTAGTGTTGTAGTTTTTATCCCACCTTCAGAAAGTGGTTATATAATAGCTCATTCTTAACCAGAACACCTCTTCCTGCAGATTCTCTGACCAAGCTGTACAATTGAGCAAATGCCAAAAGAGGGTAATATGAGTAGGTGGTGTGGACTTGTGAGTACAAGCTTGATTAGACATGGCTAGACATGACTCTCGCTTCCCCTTAGGAAATACGTCTTATGCCTATGACTTGGTTGGAGTTCAGCATGACCAGGTGTGAGGGGTAGATAAAGGAACTGTTGTTGGAAAGGTGCCCTGCAGCTCTGCTGAGCATTTCTGGCCCATGTCCTCAAAGACCCATCACTGTCAAGCTCAGAATTTCTGAACCTCATGAGAAGGTTAGGGTAAGGGTAACAGATGGCTCCGCCCTGTCCTGGTATGTGGGGTGTGGGTGCGGCAGTTTCTATGTACTCTTCTCACACACACTCACGCCCAAAAGCCTGGTGCCTCGTTCCTAGCCCTGAGCGAGGACCCACTCTGTCACTGCTGATGGGGACTCCCACACTAGCCAAGCTATATCTTATTACAGACTCCCATAAGGAGTCTAGAGAAATGATTGGACATACTGGATTATTTTGAGCTGCTTCGTGTGTAAGTTTCAAGACACAACCTGAGGAATGATAGCTTTCTTCCTTATTCATTAATTACCTTGATTAATAGGGAAACATGAGACTAGCCATCAGCTGAGACTTGATGGGAATCCAGAGCCCTGGCATCAACACAATGCTAACCCACACTGGTTGGTCAGGACTACCACCTGTTTAGTTTCCACCCCTGGGAAATGAAACTTCTCTCCCAGACAAAGCAGAGTTACAAGCAGCCTGCACTCTGCCCATCAGCATCCTCATCCTGGTGGTGAGCTGGCTTCCCCAGTTTCATAATCTGAAAGACTCTTTTACCTGGTTATTTAAGGATACCATGCTCCTCATGTCCTTGTCTTTCAAAAAATATATTCTGCTTTAAGGATAGTCTTTGGAATTCAGGGATAAAATAATAAATCTAAATGAAGTCATCTCATTTTGAAGAGAAAAAAGGAGACTCAGTGAGGATGGATCTACCTCCCTGAGGGTGATGCTAGACCCACCTGAGGTGATGTGAGACCTGAGGTAATTGGGTCTGTTCTCTTGTGCTCGTATAGGATTTCTCTTCACTCAGCTTGGACTGGTTTGGTGGGAGGTGAGAATGGGTTTTGTTATTTTTTTTTTCAAAGGATTTTGGGAGGAAGTTTTTTAAAGACCATCAATTTGATCTTAAAAGCCAAAGTGATAGCTCTTGACCTTGGATTTCTTGGATTTCTGCTATACAGCACTATCGTCTTGCTGCTATTAGGCAAAAACTATTCTCAGAATAAAGAAGTGACCACTCTTTAGCCTGGTGTAGTGGGATCCGTGTTTTCAGAGGTGCTATCAGCTGCTCCTCCAAGTCACCACTCCTGTGCTAATTTGGGAATTCTGCATTCTGACTCCAGGGTGGTGGCAAGGCAGACCTACAGGCCATCTTGCACTGAAGTTGGGACAGGGCCACTCACCTCTTACCTGCCTTCTTCCACAGAGGGAAGTGTAGTCTGGCAGAGTTCGTCCTGTAATCTGGAGGTGAGCAGGTGTGCAAACATTGCTATTTGTTTCATGGAAGGAAGGGCCGGTGAAAGATAGGAAAGCAGGTCCTAATTGATGTTCTAGGTTTAAGCTGGAGGAGAAGGTTGAAGAGTCTACAGAATGCACAAGTATGTGAGATGAACCCCTCTCTCTTTGGATCCATGATTGCCTTTGTAGGCAAAGAAGGATCACACTATGCAAATATGAAACTACATCTTAGATTAGTGGAAGTGGAGACCAAGGGGTGAGAAGAAGGAATCCTGTATGTATTTATCAGAACCTAAGAAGGAATACTCTTTTCCTCATGTGAATGACTACAAAGCGTACAACTCTAGACTCAAAGTCAACCTCCATCATGGGCGAATCAGGAGCTCTGAGAGTGATACTTTAACTTTTGAACTTCAGAATTCTCATCTGTGAAATGGAGGAAATACCACTGTTCTTTAAAGATTGTTGGGATGGAAAGGTGATATAAAATATGTCAAGCTCAGTACTTGGCACTTGGCTCCATAATTACAGTACTATCTTCAGGAACTTAGTCTTTCCTTCTCAAAGGGAGCAAACAGAGAGAGGGTTGGAAGCCAAGTATACACCCAATTCTGCTCTGAGAAGAAATAGAAGAGAGCTTGCTGCCTATAAAAATCCAAAGTAACAACTAGTCTTTGGCACACCCTGCAGGTGACTCAACTTCACCCAAGCCATGTTTCCGGAATTTGAGTCTGATGTTTGCATCTTGGTGAGGATGAGCCCACTGCTTCCGTTTCTGAATTCTCAAACCCAGTTTCCCCTCAATTGTGTCTCATGCTTCTTATGAGCATATAGTTTGGTTCTTCAAGTTTTCCCTAACTTCCTTTTGCTATGTGGTTCATGGAGCTATATGCTCTTCTATAGTTATTTATTTTTAGGAAAGAGGGGGAAAACTTACATAACAAGTGGGAACTTTTGCTAAAAGCAGAAAGAGATAGAAATTCTAAAAAAGGTTTCAAGGTTCCTGGAAAATTAAAAAAAAATAGGGTAGACATCTTTCTGGATGAGGCATTATTTATCAGGATGTCAAAGCCCATGGGATGGCCTCTCCACATCCTTCCTGGTGTGGTGACCCTGTGAATTGCTTGAGTCATCACCACCATCACTGACACTTAGCACACCAGTGAGGTAAAAAATGGTGACCATCTGATTCCAGGCTGTTACTCTCTCTTGCTCATTACCTAGTTGAATCGTTGTCCCTGTTCACCACTTGCTCTGGATCCTGAGTTCAAAATTGTATGAAAAACAATGGTATCCAGGCAGAGCTGCAGACCAGGTGAACTCTAGTAGATGATTTCATGTCACTCATAAAATGGGGGACTTGGAATGGACTACCTCCTAGATCCATGATGTCCCTGGAATGTATTTTTCATGAGTCTAAATAAGTCAATTAGGAAGATCAACACCCTGCCCAAAATAACCACAACCTAAATCTAAGAAAGCTTAGGTTTTATAATGCAACTCAAGCCCCTACTTAAAGAGAAAAATGGATGGATGGATGGATGGATGGATGGACCAATGATGTTATAGTTTGGATATGAGACAAAAGCTCACATGTAAGACAGTGCAAGAAGGCTCAGAGGAGAAATGATTGGACTGTAAGAGTCTTATCCCAATCAGTGATTTAATCCCCTGATAGGAATTAACTGAGTGGTAACTGAAGTGGTAGAGTGTGGCTGGAGGAGGTGGGAATTGGGGTGTGGCTTTGGGTATATTTGTGTATCTGGCCAGTGGATGCTCTCTCTGCTTTCTGATTATCATGATGTGGCTGCTTCCCTCTTCCACACTGTTCTGCCATGATGTTCAGCTTCACCTTGAACCTAGAGGAATGGACTCCACTGTCTATGGATTGAGACTTCTGAAACCGTGAGCCCTTGAATAAACTTTTTCTCCTCTATAATTGTTCTGGTTGGGTCTTTTGGTCACAGTGGCAAAATAGCTGATTAAAATGTATGTATGTATGTATGGATGGATGGATGTATGGATGGATGGACGGACAGATAAAAGGAGACAGGAGAAAGATTGAGAACTTGGAGTAGCCAAGAGCATAGGCTTGGGAGGCAGGTTTCCAAGGTCTCTGTACCTTAGTTCCCTTCCCAGTTATTTCTTTGAATTTCATTTATATTCTTTTTCTGAATAGTTCAGGGAACTATATGCTGTTCAACAGATATTGTTTATTATACTTTATTTCATTTTTTGGTATTGGCGATTGAACCCAGGGCCTTGCACGTGCTAGAAAGGTGCTCTTCCACTGAGCTACATCCCCAGGCCTTTTTATTTTATTTTGAGACAGGACCTCACTTAGTTGCTGAGGCTGGCCTCAAACTTGCAAACCTCCCTGAGAGCTGTAGTTACTACAGACCTATAGTCACATCTGACTATTTATTTTTTTTAAATGGAGGAAAAATGAACTTAAATTATAACAGGATGAAACCCTATAAAGTAAGACAATAATAATACTTGCTTTAGTCAGTTTTGTCACTGTGACCAATTCACCTTACAAGAACAACTTAAAGGAGTAAAAGTGTATTTGGGGCTCACTGTTTCAGAGGTCTCAGTCCATAGACAGCCGACTGCATTCCTCCAGACTCAAGGTGAGACAGAACAGTGAAGGAAGGGCCCAGTGAATGAAGGGTTCAGCTCCTGATAGGGTCAGGAAGGAGAGATAGATAAATAGATAGATAGATAGATAGATAGATAGATAGATAGATAGATAGATAGATGATAGATGAGAAGGGGTTATAGGGAAGATGCACCCTTCCAGAGCATGCCCCCAGTGACCCTCCAGCCATACCTCACCTGCCTAGGATTGAAACCCAGTCAGTCCATTCAAACTAGGATGGACTGACTAGGTTACAGCTCTCATAATCTAATCATTTTA